CCTGGATCTTGACAACATTCAGGTGAGCAGTTAAGATGATCTACGAGATAATCTTTTGTGGTCACACTACTATTCAGAAAGAGACAACAAGCAGGGGAAAATCCTAGAAACTGATTTCTTTTTCATTAATTAACTACTTCTAGTTAACCACTCCGAGAGAATGGCTCATCAAGTTTTGTGGAGCCAACAATCTGTTTATTGCCAGTACATGCTTCAAGCAAACAAACAGACAATTGTACATATGGACATCACCTATACAGGTGGATATCACCAAATGGCCAATACAGAAATCGAATACACTTCATAATTTTAAGAAGGAGATAATACAGGTGGATATCACCAAATGGCCAATATAGAAATTGAATACATAATTTTAAGGAGGAGATAGAGAGGCTGTATTCTTTCTGCCAAAACAAGACGAGAAACAGATTTGGCTACCACAAATTGTTAATACCAAAAATTAGAGTAAAGTTGAAAAAATATCATGGTGCAAAGTATAATTGAAATAATATTTCTGATTAAATGTCCATATAAAGAACAGACTTGCATTACTAAATTCAATTGACCATGAATCTGAGAAACTGTGATTGAACTCCAAGATAATACTTAGTGAAGGATGCAAAAAAATAACACTTCTATAGTCGAAGGAAATGAAAAGCTTAGATAAATGATGGCAGAAATACATGAAATTGTTAAGGACAGAAGCAAAAGGTAAGGGGGGCAGATTTAGTCAGAATCCTCTGTTAAGTGACTTTCAAGCAGAGACAAAGAAAACTATTATAATATCCTGTACAATGTCAAAGAGAGATTAACACAAAGGAAAAACAATAGATCTCTTCTAAAAGAGCCAAGAAACCAAAGAGAAATTTAAACCTAGATTATAAAAGATGCTGAAAGATCAACAGGGGACCATATTCTCTTGGCAGGATCATTTTTTAAAAAAAGTGGAAACAATATAGTGAAGAATTGTACAAAAGAGATAGGATGATGGCATTCCTTTGAAAAGAGATCCTATGATGAGGAACCTGCAGTTTTAGAAAGTGAAGTAAAAGCTGCTTCAAAACTGTTTTAGAGAAATATATCACCAAGGGGAAATGGAATACCAATAGAATTATTCCAAGTATAAGAGACCAAATCTGTCGAAATCTTAACAAGAATATGCCAATGAATGTGGAAAACAAAATAATGGACCGCATACTGGAAGTATTCAATATATATTCTAATACCCAAGAAAATAAATGCCAGAGCATTGTAACTGTAGGACTATTGCAATAATGTCCTATTCTAGCAAACTGATGCTCAAGGTGCTATAAGAAAGACATCTACCATATATGAGCAAGAAATTGCCAATGTTCACACTTGATTCAGACAAAGAAAAAGCATTTGAAAATATATTGCAAATATACATTGGCTACAGGAGCCTATCAAAAGTTTTCAGAGGAAAAAAATATAGGTCACAGCAAAATGTCTGTGTCTCAATAATAGGAAGCTATGTTTTTTTCTGAAAGAAACAGATGTGCCTCAGCATTTGAGCACCCTGATGTATTGTGGACAAGAAGTTACTGTTAAGACAGAATATGGTTTCCCATTGGCAAAAGTTTCAGAAAGGGGGATATTTTATCTCCCTATCCATTCAGTTTTTCCTGACCCAACTCTGGGAGGCAATGGACGACAGGAGGGCCTGGCGTGCTCTGGTCCATGGGGTCACGAAGAGTCGGACATGACTAAACAACAACAACATCTGTTCAGTCTCTTCTCAGAACTAGAGATGGGTTCATGAAGTTACTTTTTTTTCCTGAACAAACCATGAATTGTGTCATTTTTTCATTCTGGATTTTTTTTAGATAGCCCAGTGGTTGTCTTTAAAAAAAAACCCAACAACCCAGCAGGCTTCCTGCCCACACAGCTTGCCTCTCACCCTCTTCCCACTGGCCCTGTTTCCTCCCTACCTTTTCCTGCCACTGCATCCTCATCCACCATGGCTGATGCGGTCATCCTGAGAGACTGCTGCTCTGGCAGGCCAGCTGGTCTCTGCTCATGTCCCTGCCTCTCAACTGGGAGGCAGGGATATGCGCAGATGGCCCCTGGCCAGCTGACATGCCAGCTAGCTAAAAAAAAATTTGCTCATGTCCCTGCCTCTCAACTGGGAGGCGGGGATATGCACAGATGGCCCCTGGCCAGCTGAAATGCCAGTTAACTAAATAAAATGAAAAATGAAAAAAAAATCCAGAACCAATACGAACCAACAAATTAGCAATTTTTGATGAGCCTCCTAGTTCGTTTTTAGCTTTGTGCTATCATACAGAAATCTGGATCAGATTCAGATGAAGGAGGAGTGAAAATTGGTGGAAGAAACAGCAATAATTTAAGATATGCAGATAGTACCAAAGCACCAATGAGAAGAAAGCCTAATGCAGGATTGAAGTTGAACTATTCTGCTTTGATTACAACACATATTGTGTCCAGTTGTGGAAATGATAATGCAAGAATGATATTGGCAAGCTGGAACATGTCCAGAAGAAAGAAAATAAAATAGTAGAAGGTCTGGAAACCAAGCCCTATGATAAATAGAGAGATAACTGAATACTTGTAGACTAAAAAAGGCTGAAAAGTGGCAAAATATTTGCAGAACTGTTACATGGAAGATAAAGCAAGCTTCTGAAACTCCAAGGGGCAAGACCCAAAACAATGGTTTAAAATTACAAGAAATGTAATTTTGACTAAACATAAGAACTTCTCTACTGTAAGAGCTCTTTGACAATGGAATGAAGTCCTGTGTAACATGGTAGAAAACTCTCTTGAATTCGGGACTTTTGAATAGAGGTTGAATGGCCATCTGTCAGCGGTATTTTAGCTACAGATTTCCTGCTTTAGCATGGATTAGTTTAGATTTTCCTTTGTGCCTTTTCCAGCTCTATAATTCTATTCATTTGTATTTCCTTTTTTTCCAGTAATGTCAGTAAGTCACTGCAATATGGGACTTACAACAGCAGAATATAGGTAAGGAGGGGGTTTCTGAGATATCTCCATCACTATTTGAAAGACAAAATCACAAGCTGACTTTGGAACATCTGTATAAAATGCCTCCTGCAGTCGCCTTGACAGAAAGGTCAACACTGTCAAATGTTCAGGTTTTCTCAGTGGCCCAATATCTAAATGCATTAATATTTCAGACCTCACTAGATTTAGTTACACAACACAATATCCAGTCCCATACCTATATCAAGTCTCTTCCTAGTTACAAAGGCTGGAGTGTGGAGTTTAACTGAGCAAGAGAAGAAGGGAGGGAAATGTATGAAAGCCAGAAGACATAAAGAAGTGGCCCTCACTTTCCACATTTGATTAACAAAAAGCTGGAGGATAGCAGTATCAAAAGGTCTCAAAAGGACTAAGTAGCCACACTTGGACAGCCACTTTGCATTCTTGCATTTCCTTTTCTTTGGGATGGTTTTGGTTGCTGCCTCCTGTACAATGTTATGAGCCTCCATCAATACTTCTTCAGGCACTCTGTCCACCAGATCAAGTTCCTTAAATCCGTTCTTCACTTCCACTGTGTATTCATAAGGGATTTGGTTTAGATTATACCTGACTAGCCCAGTGGTTTTTCCTACTTTCTTCAGTTTAAGCTTGAGTTTTGCTATAAGAAGCTGATGATCAGAGCCACTATCAGGTCCAGGTCTTATTTTTGCTGACTGTATAGAGCTTCTCCAACTTTGGTTGCAGAGAACATAATCAATCTGATTTCGGTATAGCCCATCTGGTGATGTCCATGTGTAGAGTTGCCTTTTGTGTTGTCAGAAAATAGTGTTTGTGATGACCAGCTTGTTCTCTTAACAAAACTCTATTAGCCTTTGCCCTGCTTCATTTTGAACTCCAAGGTCAATGTTTATTCTTGCCATCTCCTGTTTGACCACATCCAGCTTATCAAGGTTCATAGATCTTACATTCCAGGTTCCTATGCCTTTCACTTCCAGGCATGTCCACAACTGAGTGTCCTTTCGGCTTTGGCTCAACCACTTCATTAGCTCTGGAGCTACTTGTCCTCTGCTGTTCCTCAGGAGCATGTTGGACACCTTCCGACCTGAGGGGCTCATCTTCCAGCATCATATCTTTTAGCCTTTTGTTTCTGTTCATGGGGTTTTCTTGGAGTGGCTTACCAGTTCCTGCTCCAGGTGGATCGTGTTTAGTCAGAACTCTCCACTATGACATGTCCATCTTGGGTGTCCCTGCACAGCATAGCTCATAGCTTCTCTGAATTACTCAAGCCCCTTCACCACCAGGATGTATGAGTGAACAGGCCGGTCCCAGGGGCCGAACCCTGACTAGGTCCAGCTGGGATGAGGATATTCATATTTCTTTACGAATACGAATATCCCCATCTCTAATCTAATCATAAATGGAACAGTATTGAACTTTCCACACAACAGTTCCAAATTCTTCCAATATCATCATTAGCCACTAACATATTGCAATACATACTTCTTTTTTCTTGGTTGTCATGAGCCGAATGTCACACATCCTGGATTACAAACAGTAGGAGTTACTTCCCTTTGTCTCTACTATCATGACAGCTGCACAAAAGAGGAAACTTCAGGTATTTTTAATCTCACAAGAAATTACCTTTAGGGAAACTCATATCTAATATTTTCACTATATCTCCATAGCTGTCCAGTCTAGTCAAAAAATAGCTTCCTCCTGATGTTACTGCTACTTTACATTAGCACTACCCTTCTTTGCATAAATGCACAGATTCACTCATATATTCTATAATTTTAGGAGTCCAATTTGTTCATTCTGAATTACCATTAGGAACTATTTATTCTGAGACCATTACAACAATTCAGAAATTACATTTCATTCTGCCTCAGACTGGATCTCAAGCATAAGAACTCATTTGATTTGCACTGAGAAGACACTGAATGCAGTTTTCCTTTCCCCTCGTAAATGTTCTTTCTTTTATCACCTGATTTGTCCAGTTTCTCCAATATTTAGATACTTACTGATTCCCACAGCTGTAATGAGCTTAACAGCAAGGTCTGGAATTTCACACTGCATAAAAAAGGGTTCCAACAGGTAGCGTCCAAATGCGAGAGATATTACTGCTGTTGCAGCTGGTCTGCAGAAAAGAAAGCAAGACAGAAAGTCTGAATTTTGCAAGAAAGCCTGACAACTTACCTGACTACTACCCAGGTAACGTAATGAGTCAAATACAAAGAGCAGAGCTGTTTTGTCTTCTCGCCCACTCCTCCATTTCTTCCACTACTGATGAAGAAAACAAATCTGACTCCAGAGATATAAGTCTATTCATGTTTATCTGTCCCTTAAATTCAAGAAGGAAACTTTATTCTTCCAGGTCATGATAACAAGATACAGATTGCAACTTCTGGTTTTAAGGGAGGAAAAAACATGTAATTTTAGACAAAAATATGATGCTTAGCTTCCCCTGCTGTGTTATTTTAATCTATAATCTTGGCAATCTTAATGGTTTTTCATGTATTTTGCTTCATTTCAATGGTTTTACAGTGGGGCAAGTTAATATCCTTTTATTAATCTAAATGTGGTTTTACCTGGGTTTTTTATGCTTCTTTCAAGAGTTTATAAGCTGTTTTAAGCACTGTTTTTAGTGGAAAGGTGGGGCATAAATAAATAAGTAAACAAACAAACTTTTTTCCTTTATTCTTTTCCAGGTTTAAGACTGCATGCAGAAAGGATGATTATTTGCACCCCTTCCAAATCTATGAATACTAATAGGGATAAAGATGATTATTGTGTTCAGAGCATGGGCAAACCAATTAAAGATATAATTCAAGGTATTCTTTTTGTTGGGAAATAAGAAAGTCTTGTGGAACTTAATGGACTTGATGCCCAATGCCCAAGTAACCAAACATCAGATACTATTAAGAAACCATCAGATTCCATTAACATACGATACTGTTAAGAAAGCATTACTGAATGCTCAACCCTATTGTGGCAGGCATGAACTTACTCACACTAAATGTCCATATGCTTGCAGTCTTAAAATATAATATAAATCAAAACAGGAGGAGTGAAAGGTAGGAAAGACAAATTAACGCTCCTTGAAATGTGTGGATGAAGGAGGAGATATGTTAATTGCATCCTTTTTACAAATACCTAGGGAAAGGCATACAGTGGTGCCTCGCTTATTGATTGCTTCGTTTAACGAAGAATTCGCTTAGCGATGGGTTTTTTGAGGAATTTTCCGCATTGTTTAACGATGTTCTCTATGGGCGATTTTCGCTTAGCGATTTCGGGACCATGCTTCGCATAGCTATTGCATTTTGGGTCCCCTGTTTCACATAATAGGAAAGACAAATTAACGCTCCTTGAAATGTGTGGATGAAGAAGTAGATGTGTTAATTCCATCCTTTTTACAGATACCTAGGGAAAGGCATATATGGAGACATCTACTTATCTTTTCCAACAACTTCCTATCACCTCCTCTGGCTCATTTTGCGGCAAAGGCCATAAAATGTTTTTTTTTTTCCAAAGGAAACTGTTTTAAGTGCTTGGAATCATTAGTGCACCTTGTAAAACCTTTGCAAACTTAATTTGGCTTTGTTCTGACTCTTTGTTAATTTTTAGTGAATTTTCCCCAAATTGTGTTTTTTTTGTGTTTTTTTGCAAAAAATATTTTCTCAGATAAGAAACAAGCATGTGTTTTCACAGGAGTAAAAGCTGACTGCTTTTCCCCCTTCACTCTATTGCTCAAGGAAATGTGCCCTGTAGAAAGATCTAGTGACTGGGAAGAGAATATACCACTCAGATTTCACTTTCTGCTTCAGAGAGAATATTATTGGCCACTCATTCTTGCATCTTTCTCATTCTCTTCCTTAGCTAATGCTTCCAAGATGGAATGTATTCTAAATCTTTCATCACAGAATGAGGTGGTACAGTCCTGAGATGGTGATGAGACTGTGCTATTTCATATCGTTAGCAAGAAACGCCTCTCCCCTCCCCCATACATTAAAGAGGGCTCATTAGAATGGTAAACAGTGGTATTTTAAGTGCCAAAATGCTTTTGGATATATAAATATTATTAAAATGGTATCTTTCATTTAGCAGTTTATGCTAAACACTCTGTTCTACATCTGCTTCTGCTTCGTCACTGTTATTGTCCTGGGGGGAAAGGCATCAGGAGATGAGGACATGTAGCCTCTCTCCCACCTCTTTCACTCCCAGCATCTCTAGGATATAACTCAGCACTTCTGGCTGCAGAGAACAAAGAGGAAAAGGCACAGCCTGCATTCTTCATACTGCTCTGTCCCATCATTAGTGGCAGTGACTAACTGGCTGTTTAAGCTGCTGCTTCCTCTCCCTCATCCCACCTCACTTATGCATCAGTTCTTTCCCACCTTTGGGGACATGCAGGCAAATAAGCTAGTTTTCATTCAAAGCAGACATTCATTCTAGACCAGTGGCTCCCCACCTTGGGTTCCCAGATGTTCTTGGACTACAATGCACAGAAGCCTTCACCACTAGCTGTGATGACCAGGATTTCTCAGAATTGCAGTATAACAACATCTGGGGACCCATAGTTGGTAAACACTGCTCTAGACTATGAGGCTAACTATATGGACTACTTAGCCAGCTGTTGGTCTTAAAGATGACAGTCAGACAATGTCTTTGCTAGAGTGCACCAGCCTGCCCTGATGTGTTCCTATTCATACCTTTCTGTCCCAGGTCATGGGGCTTCTATTTTTCTGGTGTGGGTATGATCACTCTGGTTTGGATTGATTCCAGCACATGTGATCACTGGAGCCAAACCAAAGTAAACCTTCCTCTTTCAAATTGCCAATATATTTTTTTAAAAATAATGGTGCATAGACTGTTTTTATATGCTGAATAAGAGCATCTACCAACCCTTGTTAGTGATTCCACCACTTGAACCAGATAGATAGATAGATAGATAGATAGATAGATAGATAGATAGATAGAGAGAGAGAGAGAGAGAGAGAGAGAGAGAGAGAGAGAGATTGAGAGGGGGGGGATTTAACTGCTGGTGGTTTCTTCACCAGCCCTTTAAGGTGAGGGAAAGAAGTTTTAAAAATATCATAACTGATGTAGTGCATCAGTGATAGTCTGCATAAAGTTAAAAAAAATCACTTTCCCTGTTCTTTGCTGAGCAGGATAAATGATTAATTTGTCAGTAACCTGAAGTGGGCTCACTTATTAAGCCACTTTATGATATTGACAGGGGACACATCTGTGTGAACACTCAGGCTTGATTCGATCATTCTAATCAAGCTTGGCTGTTCCTAGGTAGCCCACACTAGCTCTTTTTCTGCTGTTACTGTAATTGTACCCTTTGGGGATGGCTGCTTATAAAACGTCTCTCTCCCTCTCCCTCTCTCTCTCCTTCTCCTCTCTTCCATTCCTCATCCTAGCCTCCCTTTAACTCCCACCTTCCTTCTTGTTTTGGAGGACCCCAACACTTGGTGGGGAAGATAAAGGAGACAGGAGACAGTGGAAGTGAGATTTGGTTTGATAGGTAAATTAATCCTTCTGTGTTTTCTGTGTAATTCTGGAATAAAAGCCTTCTTCAAATGAAATCCAACTGGCATGCTTCTCCCAAACTGGAAAGCTGGGAGGGAAAGGAAGAAAAAGTGGGATCTAGTGAGTCAGATGAGAACAGAGAAAGAATCAGCATTGCCAGTAACACCTTGGCAGAAGAACAAGTACTTTTCTTCACATCTCTACCATTGATTGAGATTAACCTCAATGTGTTTTTCTTACAACACTTTACTGCATCACATCTCTGTGAAATCCAGATCTTTCCTTTTGTTAGGCAGGAAAGCCAACCATTTTTCTTGTAAGATGCCATGAAATGACACAAGCAATATGATTTCTAAAAGAGCAGCTTTGCCCATCTCATATAACACAGTCAGTTCCTGAGCTACGAGCTTGGGACACATACATGTGCCTCTAAAACCCCAGGCTCAAGGGGATCAAGGGGATAACACAATAAACATATCCTGACTTTCTGGTTAACACTGCTACTGGCACGTGCACACACACACACACACACGCAGAGAGAGAGAGAGAGAGAGAGAGAGAGAGCACTAGTCTTTTACCTGTTCTGCTAGGTGAAAAATCTACAGGATATGTTATTGTGCTGAGACACCCATCTTTATTGAGGATGAGAAAAATGTGTATTTGTTAAAACCTGGAACAAGCCATCTGGAGCACAGAAGCAGAGGACAGGGGGAAAGTGAAGCACCTCATTTGCAGCCCATGCTCCAAATTCCAATCTTACAAAGCAACTTTTCTTTATGGAAACAAAACCAGCATTGGTGCTGTGTTGCAGATATTAGCATTCATGTTTAGCTGTCCCCAGAGAATCTGCCCTAGAAAAATAACAGGGGACAAAACATATTGGAACAGTACATATTAGTTTGTTCCAGATATCAGAAAGTTGTGCATAGTGGTAGCAGAAAGGGTACTCCTTGATAGCTATAGGTCACATGCCAATTTTTATGATCTAGAAATGTTTTACCTTTATTGATACTTTTGTTTTTTTGTGTTATTTGTTTTTATTTTTTGTTTTTTTCCTTCTGGGTGTCAGCAAGCATTTGCTAAGTAAGTCAGTGCTCTTACAATACTGCCAGGACATGATGTATGTGAGAGAAACATCAATTCACAATGACTTAGCATTGTTGATTTTTTAAACAGATGATCAGCACAGCTTACTGCGTAGGTGTATGTAGCAACATAATCAAGTGAAACCAGCTGTATAGACAAAGAGAAAAAAGGAAATGAAAAGGCATATATGTTTCACTGAGTGAACTGCTTTCCGCAATATGACACTCAGAAAGAGAAACAGGTAAATAGATCAAGAGGCTAAACTACCTATGTGTAAAATAATTTGCCAGCCATTTAAACTGCATTTGTCTGCTGTGATTTGAAACCTATTTAAAATATCATCAACAAACTCAGCACCAGGCAAATCAAGAGCTGCACAATGTGCTTTCTATCATCACAACAGACAAGAAAATTGTAGATTTATAGGGTTGTAAACGGTAGCCAAGATACTTCAGAATGGAAACACTACTAATGTTAAACCAGTTTGGCCAGCTCTACTTCTTTTTCACACAGTGAATACAATTTCATACAAAGAAACACAAGGTCAATCTAACATAAGTGTACAGTATATGTATGACTAGAGGTAAAGGTAAAGGTAAAGGTGCCCCTTGACAATTTTTGTCCAGTCATGTTCGACTCTAGGGGGCGGTGCTCATCCCTGTTTCCAAGCCATAGAGCCAGCGTTTTGTCCGAAGACGATCTTCCGTGTTCACATGGCCAGTGCGACTTAGACACGGAACGCTGTTACATTCCCACCGAGGTGGTCCCTATTGATCTACTCGCATTTGCATGCTTTCGAACCACTAGGTTGGCGGGAGCTGGGACAAGTGATGGTCGCTCACTCCATCGCGTGGATTCGATCTTACGACTGCTGGTCTTCTGCCCCTGCAGCACAGGCTTCTGCAGTTTAGCCCACAGTGCCACCATGTCCCTTTTATGTATGACTAGGAAACACATACAAATATGTAACAAGTTCAAGGCCAGTTAACAATTTGTCCCAAAAAAAATATCCTATTTGGGCACAACTGCCAGGCACCATCTGCTTAATTCCTCTTGGTGCCCATTGTCACCTGAAATACTGTGGTCTCCTCAGTCCAGTCTTCCATGCCAGCCCACTGGAAATCTACATCTGGGATATCTATGGGTTCCTCGTTTACTGGATAAAGCTGCACATTATTTAGAACTGCCTTTGCTCTCCAATGATACCAAGACTGAACTTAGAAATGTCATCTGAAGAAATGTACATCCACCCTACTTTTTTTTTCAGGGGTGTGTGTCTTTTTTTGGTTTCTGTTTGTTTAGGTTTGTTTGTTTGCAATCCCAGAGAATGCAAGCATATGATCCGTATGCTTTCTGGAGTCAGTACTTGGGCTTTTTCTGAGGAGACCCCCTCCATACAAACTACAAACCAAATTGTGGATGTATGCACATGTCTCATTTGAGAGCACAAAATAATTTGATGAAATATAATTATTTGATGCAAGTAAATTCTATAAAAATCCTATGCAATACTTTTTTTGGAATTTCAAAGTTTGATTCATTCCATACCATAATTGTTGGTTCACATGATGCATGAATATTATTGATGTTCCCTATAAGCCTAGAATCTAGAAACAATAAAGTCAAACCTTTTTTTAAAGTTTTATATTTTGAATTTCTTAGCATTAAATCCAGTTGTTAGACTGAGCTGCAGTAGAACCATTGAATCAACAGGTTCAGCAGAAATTTAAGCAACCTATTCTTTCAAAGAATTTGTTTCAGTTGGAGTGAACAATTGGATTTACCTCTTAATTTGTACAAAAATATGTCAGGAACACTGATGCAACCACCACTGTTAAATTAGAAAATATTGGGAAGCCGAAAGAAAACACATACATTAAAGAACAGGCCATCTAACCACATTACATTAAGACAATGCTTTGACTTATGCAGGTACACTGGGAGGAAAACAACAACTTACCGTATGATGAGCAGTTCCACCCAAACTCTTACGAAAGCAGGTAATGGACCAAAGGCTTCCAGGATGTACGTATAGTGCCCTCCAGATTTCTTGATACTTGTGCCCAGTTCAGCATAACAGAGAGCACCTATACAAATGCAGTTAATATTAAACCAAAGCTTTGAAAAGCAAGCCCTTCCGTCAACTTTTGTCTAAAGTTTTTAGAGTCGGACACTTATTTCCTCCTTGCCATTTCTTTTCAACAAAGGATACAACAGAAGACAACAGTAAAACTGTTACTGAGAATGCATATTTCATTTTACTGTGAATTTTGACAGTGTTAATCGAATAATTAATCATGAACAGTTCTTTCCTAACTTTACTGCAGAACTTCAATGCAGGTTAAAGGATCTCGATCATTTTCTTTCCTTGTTTATTTTAATTAACACATCCTATCGAAGGGCCAAATTAGATGTTTTAATAGGCCAGTCAAGCTATTTGCATCTCAGTTTCATTTTATTGGCAACTCATACACTGTAGCGGTTATATATTTCGTATATAAATGCAGTGAAATTAATTTAATTAATGTTTAAGAAAAACTACAGTGCCATTTGAAAGTCCTCCTCTTGAAATAACTTCTCCCAAATTAACATCAGAGAATTTTCTGTAAGAATTACGTAGCTAGCTGTTCATTATGTGTTGTTTCATTTTTTAATTTAAGAATTCTGTCACTTAATCTCTTCTTGCAAAATCAACAAGGACAAAAATGAAGCACAGAACAATTTCAAGGCTGTGTAAATCATATTGTAATCAGAGAACATTAAGAGGACTTTAACAGGTCAGATCTTTCAACACAAAATCAAAATATACATGTATTCAGAAGAGTAACTTTTAACTTCTCCTGCAAGCTGAAGCTCAATTAAAATGTAGCCTAAATAGAAACAAATTCTAACTTCAGTACCACTTAGAAAGATACAGTTTTGATACTGACCCTGTAAATGTTCCTCTCAATTATTGTTTGCTCAAGAACTATATGTTCTGTTTCTGATCAAGATCTATTTTGATTTCATCCAGCTGTATGTTTAGCAAGGGTGGGTAAAGCATTGGCTCTGTTCTTTAAAGATTGCGACAAATTGACACAGGGCAAGTTCCATGCATTTCATTGCTTGAGCCATGATATGATATTGGCTCTTATTGAACTTCTTTTTCCTAACACCCCAAAATAAGTAGGCTTGGCTGATAACAATGCCTATAGCCATGTGTGCTTTCAACTTCTTTATCTTTCTTTTGGGGGCGCACCACATTCTCCTCTTCCTAATTCATTTCTGCCTCAGGGTAGAGTAGGGGGGAAATGGTGCCACTTGCCCACATACCAACATGGCTAGTTACAGCTCTGATTGTTTTGTAGGATTAAGTGGGTGGTATATAAACCAATCTCAATTTTTGTACTCTTTCTGTGGAGGGTAACTACTTCAGCAAAACTTACACATTTCTCTTTTTTAAAGTAAAACGGGCTGAAATCATGTTTAACTTAAGCTGCAGCAATTTTGCTGGCAATTAAATTTTTCTGATTTCTACCCCCAAAAATCCCAAGGTTACCTGGGGATCTCTTTAGTCATGGCGGAGACTTCCAAAAAGCACTGATAAAATCACCCCAACAACTATGATTTTCAGAAATGATAGGCTTCCTCTCTTCCTTCAGTTACCAATGACAAAAGAGATCACAAAGAAGCCTTGGGACCTTCAGGGAAAGAACTAGAAATGTTTAATTTCCAAAAGATCACTGTGGCTGATGGTGTCATTAGCCTTGTAAGTAAGTAAAAGCAAAGGGATGTCAGCCAGCATTTTGCAATTATTTTAAGTTAGACTAATTGAGCATTATTCCCTCGAAATATAATCTGGTACATGTCTAGTTAGATGTTAATCAGAGAGTCACTGTTCTGGGAGAAAGTATGATATAAATCAAAGAAATGAAAATAATAAATAAGGTTTACTGAACTCAATTGCACCTTTTCACAAGTATAAATGAACAGTATTACAGCTTAACTATTTGAGAGCCCCAGAGCCTACTTTTAACATAATTATTCCGTGCAAGACCTATAGATATAATAATCAAGATGAAAGCTCCTCTAAACAATACAGTATAGCAGTTAGGATGCTGGTCTGGGTACTGGAAGATCTTAGACCTAGCTCTCACTAAGCATGTGTAGGATTCCTTGGGCCCGTGAAGTAAGTCAGCCTGACCTGTCTCTCAAAGTTGTTTTGAGGATAAAGAGGGGAAGAGGAGGGGGAGGACCCTTGTGCTTATAAGAAAAAGGCAGTTATAAATGTAACTAATATATGAAAAGGTACGTTTCTTCATGAAAGAATCCTCACTAGCATTTAGGGTGAGAAGCCCCAGCTCACTGTGTACACATTCCAGACAAACATGAGCATCAGACTGTCTCTTATTTAAAACTTTGTCTGAGTCTTCTCACATCTCTCTCCTCTCTTCTCTTCTTTTTCCTTTCCTCTGCCTTCTCTCCCTCTCTTCCCTTCTAGTTCAACAGAAGTTTACACCATTCAAACTCTCATCTAGCCAATAAGGGGCAAGGCATACATTTCGCAGATGTTTTTCAGACTGAACAGTTCATCTCTCCTGTTGCTGACACTCCACGAGCATGCTACACGTGATTCTCAGCAGCCAGGCAGAAAGCAGACCCAAACACACACCTTCTGGCCTGCTAAAGGACACTCCTTTCTCCACTTACTTCAGGGAGCCTTAAGAAATACTATTCTTTCTTAAAAGTCTATATAACAACATTCATCAGAGCTTTGTGTCATCATCCGTATGCTTTCAAAGCAGCTCAAAGATCCCTCCTGCCAAAAAATTACTGAAGCAACATTAATGCTAGGCATCAAACCAGCCTCTTGATCTTGAGCATCAAATCTCTTAAAAGTCCACTAGCTACCCCCCAGGATCAATTTTAAACTTTCACAAACTTACCAAAGAGTGAAAGGATACCACAGACAGTCCAGACAGTCAGGGACATTCCCACACTGCCCGTGTGTTGAAGGATTCCTTTAGGTGAAATGAAGATTCCCGCTCCAATGATTGTACCAATTATAATGGAGATTCCTCTCAATAAAGTGATTTTCTTCTTCAGCACCACTTTGTCTCCATGAGTTGCCTTGGCATTGTGCGGTGAAGGCAACTTGCCATTCGCTGATCCCTGCAGGTAGCTGCCATTAGAGACTGCCGAGACAGGAGCCTTCCTAAACATAGTTTAGTGTTGCCCACACACCCCAGAGTGAACTTCTAAAAACTCTCCGGCAAGCTCTTCAGATCTTTCTTTCTCCTCTTTCTCTCTCTCTCTTTGCCTAGCTAATTACTTTTACAGCTCGCTCCCACACTGCTTGTAGTCTTTTCAAACCACTTGTGCCAACAGGTATAAAACTCTTCAGGTGTCTTTTTTTTCTTTTTGTTTAACTTTTCCCTGCTATCTGAAGGCTGCTGAAGAACACCTGCCCTTTCTCACAGCTACCTTGGTGCTGCTCTGTCATTGGAAGCCAGCTCAGCTTCCGCATGGTCTTGTATTTAAGCTCGCCTGTCATACTAAGTTACTCTTGCTGAATGATGATGCAAATTCTCCAGGTTTGCATCAGCCATAGAAGCCAGATCTGGCTGTAGCATTACTCAGCACTTTTCTCCCCTACGGTAGCAGGATGTTGCAAAACTAACTTGAATTCTTCTGAAAGATAAAAAAAAGAAAAAGCACACACACAACCCTGACCGATCCTTAGTGAGTCAGTTACGGTACTAGAACACTCCCAAATATTTAAATAACTTCCTGGTGAGAAATGTCTGTTTTCAAACACTGAGCTGAGCAGCTTGTAAACTTTATAATGTAAAAGGGTAGGGAAAAAAAGGTCAAAGAAAATGTGTCATGTTTGCATTTTATCGAAAAAGAATTTGCCTCAACTATGATGGGCTAGCATAGGTTATGAGCATGCTCTTTAAACAGGTTGCTTTTTCTGGACCTAAATCAACATTGTATATGAAGACTGCATATATTTACAGAAATATATGCCAGCTTCCTTGCTTCGTCATGTTGCCTAGCAACTGACCAATGGAGTCTTTGCTTCTATAACATGGCAATTATTGTGTATATTTTGTTTTGAGGTTTATCTAGGCTTAATGGTCCCCTCAATAAAGGAAACACTCCTTGGGTGAAACCAAAATAATTCTTAGCAGGCGTAGGATCCTTTTGTAAATATCACTAAAGCAGGAACAGTTTTGCTGGGGGAAATGGGCATCCTTTTCAAGTGACTGTGGTGCTGTCATCAGCAGATCAACTTTGTTTTGATTTCCTGCCTTGCATGACTGACCGCAGCCTCTTACACACCTTTGAAATCAACACAAATTGAATGCACATTGAGGAAGTGGCCTGTTGAGTCTGCCTCTGATTTCATGACTATAAGACAGTTTAAATGATGTGTACAGGGGGCTGGCCCTGCCACTAGGCTGGGCAACTTCCCCAGAGGGCAGAGCTGCAGCTGCCAAGAGTATTGGCTATATTACTAGTTGGTCAGGAAAGAAATGTTAACAAACAAACAAATAAATACATAAATACATAAATATTACATTTGTTATTATTGTGCACTTACTGGTAGGGAAAGAGTGAGGCACTTGTGGAATTTTCTGCCTCATGTGCTAAAATAATTTGGCTGGCTGTGTGTGCAATTTACCTTGACTGCATAGGAACGGCACTTCTTTGCTCAGACAGCAAAATATCGTAGGTGTATTAGTTTGTCAGGAACCCAATGTCATGTAGTGGGTAGATGGAGGGAGTAGCACTATGGAGACCAGGATATGAATCTCTGCTTGGCCATGGAAACCCTCTGGGGGAGAGGAACTGGTAAAACGACTTCTTAAATATTTAACTTATGTTGAAAGCCCTGTTAGTGTGGCTAAAAGTCGATTCCAACTTGATGGCATATAACTATTAGTCTATTGCTTTCTACATTATTACAAATATTGAGTAAGCGTGAGTTCTCTTTCATATGGAACACTGGTTCCCAATCTTGAGTAACCCCGGTGTTCTTGAACTGCAGTTCCCAGAAGCCTTCACCAGCAGCTGTATTGGCTGGGTTTTCTGGGAGCTGCAGTGCAAGAACATCTGGGTTACACAAGGTTAAAAACCGCTGATATGGGTTCTAATCCACCAATTAATGGTTTATAGTGTGTTCCCTGTAATATATCATGTTCAGTATCATGTAACAATATGGGACTGTACCACACGTGCCATGTCAGGGTCCTTACCTATGGTATGTTTTTGAAGGAGTGTAAATGTACAAATTGGTCCTAAATGAGAAGCAGAACAGAGCAGAGCTATGTTTCAATAATCCTTCCAATATTCCTGCCATTTTTAATATAATGTTTATAGAAAGCAGTGTTAAATTGCTTCTTTTTCATAGCACCAGCCACGTGCAAAGTGCCAGTGTGTAAAACATTGCAAAATCTGGATTCGTATGAAAGCTAGGCATGTATACAATGTTTATATAGACTTTCATTTCTCTCCCCGAGTAAAACAAACCTTGGTTTACATATAGCAAAATGGACTGAGCAACACAAATCAGTTTACAATACAGCAGCCACTTGTAATATGGACTAAAATTCCCAGAATCCTCTTGTCAGCATGGATTCTGATGTGACTGGAGGATTCTGGGAGTTGTAGTAAAAAGGGGGAACTTTTCCAAATTCAGACTTACCTACAGAGAAAATGTCTAAGGGCATATCTCTCTCTCTCTCTCTCTCTCTCTGTGTGTGTGTGTGTGTGTGTGTGTGTGTGTGTGTGTCCTATGTTAAGGCATCAGAAATTAACCAGCTTCTGCTCCAAACTCTACAATTACCTGTCTCTAGTCAAGGAGGTGAAACAGAATGTATTTGTTGTAGTTTGAAAGATTACACCCAATATTTAATGATTGCAATTTAATTTCCTGAGTGTGTTTTGCATTATTTAAAGAAAGTTTAGCCTCTGATGCAACCTCTATTGTTTCTGAAATCTTGCGGGTCACATATTATCAATGACAGGAATGACAATCATTCTTCTTAAAAGTGCTTGTTAGAAGTGTACATTGAGGAATAATCTGCCCAGAGAGTGCTTGAAGCACTATGAGGCGGTATATAAGCAGCACGCTTTGCTTTTTGCTCACTCTCTCTCTCTCACTCTCACACACACACACACACACACACACACACACACACACGAGTCTCTCTCCTTTCTTCCTTATAAATGTTAAGTTGCCTGTCAAGAGAAACCTAGAATACTGAGTACTTATAATCAAAGTAGGTACTGTACCTTACTGGCTTTAGGCTGAAATTTCATCTCAAAATCTGTGTTCCTTCAAGACAGTCTAATTAATGTCAGGTCCTAAAACCATTAATTAATTAATTACACTGGGAGATTATTTAATTCTCCAAAATAATGAAGCAATAAGCAGGTATATCCCTGCTATCTTGGACTGTCAAAGAAAGAAAGATCATAGATACAAACAAAAAAAACCCAGAAGAGGGAACATGGGGGATTAGAGAAGTATGCCATCAAGTCAGTTTCAACTGATAGTGATCATTCTCAAGGTTTGCATACTATAGAAATTAGAACAGCTTGCCATCCCCTTGCTCCAGGACTACTCTGGGACTGTGCATCATGCCCAAGGCTACACAGGCTGGCTCTTCTCTCAACAACCGCTGTGTGATGCAGTATTTGAACTGCTCATTGAACTCTAATATTCTCCTTGCCTGCCCAATCCAGAATAACAAGCCAAGACACAGTAATATGGGGTGAACTAAGGGCCATAGCTTTATTCACTTATTGTAACTAGGACTTCCCCTTTGACAAGAGGGCCTACCATAGTGCAAAACAGGTCTATAACCAGATTCAACCTTGACATTCCAATCCAGACCTCTCCCTAGCTATTTCCTACTTCAGAAGTGCACTGTTCTATTACACAGCACACTTTCAGCCCTCAAAAAGCCGGAGTACCCCAAGGCTGCCCTCCACCTGGGCCTCATGACCCTAAGTGCCCAGCATCCCCTGCGATCCCAGGCTTCCCCTCCCCTCCGCCAAACCTCTGCTAATGCTATTCTGAGAGGAGGGGTGCCTTCTACCCCCTGGGTGCCCCCCTTGGAACTCCCTCAAACCTGTTCCTTTTGCACTACCCTCTTGTGACCAAATTAAATATGCCATCGTACCATTAACTGCCCTTAGTTGTCCTTACAAGTAAGAATGGGCCGGGCAAAAAACCACTTGCACCCAGAGCCAGTTCAGGTGTGGGTCAAAAATTCTTATCCAGCCCCACAGCGACCAGCTAATCTCATCTTTCCTATAGAGTGGGCAGGCTGGCAGATGGGTAAACGCCATCAATGAGGAAGGATGAGGCAGGCCTAGGAAACCTTACAGTCTCCTCCAGGCCCTGCCTGCTTGCCTGATATGCCATACGAAATTGTGTCTCTCATGCAACCAGGCAGGCATAGGAGCCCCGCCCAGGTAGCTTTGCGCCTCTTGCAGAGACCTTTCTACCATTTTTTGAGGTTACACTGCCCTAACTATTAAAAAAATCCCAGACATTAGTTATACTATAAAAGGAATGAAGTTATCCCTTGTTAAGTTACATTTGTGTTGGAAATGGGATTAATTGTAGGTACTGTAATTACAGAAATTACTGAAAGACAGTGTGATATAGTAGACGGTCAAACTCTGGAAACCTGGGTTCAGATCTCCATTCAGCTATGGAATTCACAATGATGAATCATTCCTTGAATATATTACATACTTCAGAAACTCTGTGAGTCAAAAGTGAGTTGACAATACATAACAAGTAATTAACAACAGTTACAATAAGGATTATTTACTTGTCCAAGCTTTGGCAATTAAGTTTTTCTACTCTCCTTGCATGTATGGGAATGCTCTGAGCAAAGCATTTTATCCATCCACAATCTAAAGGGAAGAACGTGCCATGAAATGGATCTTCAGTTTGTGGTGTTAGTTATGATGCAACTCAGCAGCTAAATTGCTAACATTAAACCCAAATGGAAAAGAAAAAAGATGTGCCCAAGCATATCCTAGGACATTTCCAAATTAGCCAGAGGATCCAGATGCTTGCAAGACTGTCTTTAATTAATAATAGTAGCAAGAGCAGCAGTAGTAATCATAATAAAAATATGTTTACTTGGTGATTTGTTTCATCATTTGTCCACCCTGCTTTACTGAAACATTACTTTTTATCAAAAAGAAGCTAAAACTTAAAGTCTTAGTTGGGCTTGTAGCCTACATTCTGTTGAATAATATGGGACAGTCTTTCATTGGACTCAAATGCTGTCTGGATCATGTCTTTCAAAAGAAAAAGAAAATTAACCTAGATTCATGCATTGTTAATCTGTTAGTAGTCACAGAGAGAAGTGGGTCATTTTCAAGAGGATGAAAGAACAACATCCCTAACAACATTTTAACCATTCTTCTCATCTCATATGGAGGTGTCAATACCATTCAAAGAATATCTACACCACACAGTTCTAGCTGATACCACATTCTACAGGACACCGGAATTTGTGGTTCAATATGGTACTTAGAATTCTGTCCTACAGAACTCCCTTGCAATCCACCGAATTATAGTACAAAACTTTTATAGTAA